TAAAGCATGGTCAGTTTAGACACGAGGCCGCCAGATACAGTAAAATCTCCATGGTTGGCCACCTCCTTACATTGACCACCTTCTCAAATTGGCCTAATTCTCACAGACTGGGCACGGACCACATGCACATTCCGGTATAGTAGGGCTAGTTCCTTATATTGATCACTTCTGTGTGGTGACCCATTTGTTACAGTCCCCTGGGTGGTCAACTTACAGGGGTTCTACTGTGTTTGAAAATACAAGTTATTGTCTTGCCTGAGAACACATTGCAGAGGTCACCTCAAAGGTCACACTAGACTCCAGTCCTGCATCAGGCAATCCAGCCGGGAAATCTCCTTGAGCTCTAAGGACTTAGGCTTCATACATTCTTGCTCTAGACAGACTGCAGGTCTAGAGAGCAGGAGCTGTGGGCAGCTCTGCTGTTAGCCATGACTGTGTCACAGACCACACCTGGCCATCATAAATTGACCACCTCAACAGACTCCCAAACTCTCAGGGTCTCATCAGTGGCAGAGAACTAGAGGGCTAGAGTTCTGCACTTCTCTCATTCAAGGCTTGCCTGCCGCACTGGCAAGCAGGACCACCCTCCTTTGGGGGACCCCTGTCTCTGGGACACTGCTGCTTCCCCAGTCCAGGCCATTTCTGGGCAGCCCCAGTGCTCAGCACACTCTTCCTCAGTGAGCTGAAGGCTGTGCCAGCTATTCCCACGCCACCTCTAGAGCCACATAGGTGTCAAGGGTAAAGGTGGGCACCCCAAACACTCCACCAGCATGGCAATGGGACTCCGTCTTGCTTAGCTCTTGGCCCACTAAAAACTGGACTGGAACTAATGTTTTTCAAAAACCCATGATAACCCAAGAGAACCTAAAGCATCCTTCTTCCAAAATACAAACTTATGATAAATCACCACAGTGCAGCACTTCTTACCAGACCCGCTGAAGGAGGCATTCTTCTCCACAGCACACTATAGGGACAGAGAGCTCTCAGCAATCACACCATCATGGGGGGAGGGGCATTAGGGGCACCATAAGAAATTTATATGCACTTTGTAATTTAACAACCCAGCACCTTACTTTTGAGCATGCGTATGTCTGATGTTCCTGAAATTGGCCACTGCTTCAGAAAAGGATTGAGAAGATGGGAGCTGGGGCACAACCCAGACTGCCCCCTCTTCTCCCTACCAGGGCAGTTCTGCTGTCCTATTCTTCTTGCCCTCACTTCTCTCCAGAAGAGAAGAGCGTCTTCAGAGCCAGAGCATCTTTTATGTTGCCTTCAGCTTTAGGTCACCCTTTTCCAGGTAGTGGCCCAGCATGACAGCAACGGAGGCCCTGCTGAGCCAAGGAAACCAAACAGTGAGAGCGAAGCTATGACCATGGGCTCCCTGGAAGCTGTGAAGGCCTCCAGGGACATTCTAGTCACATTCTCCACCTGCACTCTGGGAGGAGATATATAATATCTACATCCAGATCAGTCTCTATAAATACAGATGCACACACATATAACATATGTACACATACACGTGTGCATGTGAGAGGTTAAAATATGTACACATATGCGTGCATGTGAGGGATTTAAAGATACACACACACACACACACACACAGAGCCTTATAGATGACCTGGAGTCTACTAGGTAGAAAACTCTACCCTCTTTTTCTTTTTCTGCCCTTTCTGCCCTATTTGAGGAGATAAAATTTGATGGATTAAAAATTGCATACATATACACATCTATAAGGATAGATCAATATGTGCATATATATTTTAATCCATCAATTTTTATCCTCTAGATCAGTGGTTCTCAACCTTCCTAGTGCTATGATGTATTTTCATTGTTACAAAGGGGTCGTGACCAACAGGTTGAGAACTGCTGCTCTAGATTAACTAAAAGGTAGACTTGGAGGTGGCCTGGGCTGCTAGTCACCTTCCTGGACAAGTGTAGACAGGAATGCTCTCCAATCCACCCGCACGTGAGGTCCTCCCATCTGAAGGCCTGGAGTGGGCAGAATGGTGGCCTCCCTGAAGATGTCCACAGCCCCATTTCCCAGCTCCTGTGAATACGTTACCTTATATGACACAGAGAACTTGCCAGGCTGATGAAGGTTATGGACCATGAGATGGGGAGATTATCCTGAATTGTCAGGGTGGGGCCAATCTTTAAAATCAAAGAAGCTTCTTGGTCGTGGTTAGAGAAATGGGGTGGGAGAAGAGGCAGGAGAGATGAGAATCAGAGCATGAGAGGGCCTTGGCCCCTGTTTTGGCTGCTCTGAGGATGAAGGGAGCCCGCGACAGAGACTTTCTAGAGGCCACCAGAAGCTGAGCACTGCCCCTGCCCATAGGCAGCAAGCAAGTTGGGACCTCAGTCCTACACTCCTTGAAGAGTCAACAACCTTGAGCCTGGAAGGGGACTGTCCCCCAGAACCTCAGGTGCAAGCTCAGGCCAACCAGTCTACCAGCCTTGATTTCAGGCCATGGGGCTGGAGCAGAGGAAGCATGGAGCCCGCTGGGCCTCCACCCACAGGACTGTGTGGGTCCAGTACTTTACTGGCCAAGCCCTGGCTCCTTGTTGGCAGCAGGAAGCTGATGCTGTGAGAGGCCCTGGCCTGAGGTTCAGAGTCCAGCAGGTGTCCGGCTAAAGAGCCTTCCATGTGATTAGAGCAGGTCATGGCCACCAAGCTCCCATGAGGGTATCCTGCACCCCCAGGCCAGGGCCAGGAAGGGCAATGCCTGGCAGTGGGCAGGTGACAACTCTGTTTGAAAGACAGTGGCTGAGATTTTTTAAACTCTTTACCTGAGAATGATTTTAGGGGGAAAATAATATTTGCTTTGCACTGAGTAAATCAGAGCATCTCTCCTCTTTCCTTCCCTTCCTGCCGCTGGTTCTCTGTAGTCAGCAGTCACTCTCCCCAGCGCACCCTGCTCTGTTCCCTCCTGGGGAGGTGCTCTCCATTCTGCAGACTCTAAGCACAGCCAAACTATGACCATGAGCACACATGTGTGTTTCTGGCAGAGTCCACCATCACATACACTGTCACACGAAGTAGTGTCTTTGAAATCCATGCCAGGAAGCTGTGTTTGGAGTTGAGTTTCCCATAACCAACCTGGTCAGCTCATTGCTGGCAAGTAAAGACTAGCTGACTATTGCAGTTCAACAATCTGAGACATAAAGGGTTTAAAAATGGGGCTCAGAATTAATTGAAGTGGATTGGGCATTAGAAGACAATCACCCTGGCTCGGCACCTGTGGCTCAAGCGGCTAAGGCGCCAGCCACGTACACCTAAGGTGGCGGGTTCGAATCCCCAGCCCGGGCCGCCAAACAACAATGATGGCTGCAACCAAAAAATGGC